CTGCCGTGCAGTCTGAAGTCACGTCATATTCGTCTACGTTCGGTGCTGCGGGTGGCAGCGACGGTCTTTATACTACATCTTTTTCTTTTGCATTACGCATTTGGTTGCTTGCAAGTCTTGGATACGAAGTTCAAAGGCCTTCATTTCTGTGAGTTATTCCTGGGTGCTTCCTTGGTTCACCGTATTCCGACGTCATTGGTGCTTGGACTAGCGTGCCTTTTGCAAGCGACGTTGCATTTGTGTCTGACTCTAAGTAGGAGAGATGCTTGTCATCTACTGAGTAAATAAGCAGTCAATTTCCTGTCATGCCTATGTGTTGTACTCTTATAATGATAACTTAACGCAGACCATACATATTATTGATCCAGGATTATTCTTAATTCGGAATGCATGATTTAATATAGCTTGACCAGACAGGCAATGGCTGCTGAGAAGATCTACTTTACTGGTCTGTTAAGAGGTTAGAGGTGGGCTTGGTGCTGGATTCTGGGTCGCCCAGAAAACCTTTTCTCAGGCACTGCTTATTCGATTTTGCCAGACACCATTAGACCCAGAGCAGGCATACGTCCTGGGCCATACACTGTCCTCAGACATTTCTGCCAGTGTGGTGCACAGTGTGTGATGTTCCGGTGCCCTCAGCTATGGATCTGCAGTACATGGTTAAAAAGCCGCAAAACAATTCGTAGAAGCTAGACTGTTTATACCAAACTAGACGAACAATGTTTGAGTCGTACTATATAATCTGTTTATTATGTGTAAGCTTCAGGCAATATTGAATATTGAAGTCATCATTGACAATAGCAGGTCCAAGGCAACATCTAGTGCATCTGGACCAGAACAAGGGCAGTGTCCATTCAGTAAACTTGTCTGTGATTCTTGAAAGTTGGTAAGCCACATTGTCCATCATTCAGAAAACCTTGTCCTGTCTGAACTTTCTTAATGTATGGACGTCCTCAAATGGTGAGATGTCGAGAAGTGAATTTCATAAGACAAATGTGGTGAAACAGGAGTGTGCACATTATTCAAACATACAGAACATTGTCTCTCCCTTAGGAACTTTCTGTGCAACTCGGATATGTGTCAGGCAACTATGGTAACATCATCCCGAGTTCTGATGAATTAGAATCTGCAGAAATTAACTTGCATTCTGTTACTATTCTAATCACTGACTCATGTTCAAGAATTATGGAGAGTCAAGGAGTCTCTTTATACCATCTCTGTACAGTATTGCAACCTTGGACTTGACAGACCTTTATAAACACACACACACAAGAGAGTACCATATTTAACAGCAGACACTACATATTCAAAGCACATTGAGTCAAGCTACAAAGTGAAGAGGCAATACAAGAGAATGAGGGAATATTATGTCGACAGTAAGGAAGATAGGACTAAATGGATATATGGATTGCCACTCTCTTCAGACTTGAAATGTTCTATTTCTTTGAATAAAAGAGAATGCCAGGTAAATAAGATGAAATTCTTTCTTCAGAAAGACACTTACAATCATCAACTTCTTTATCTCAGTGTTGTATGAGTAGCAAGGCTGATGGTCGAGCCATCTACTCGCATATCTAACAAATAAGGTATGGGTAAGTAACTGTTACTGATATCCTTTGTACACAGATGAATTGACACATACGCCAACACCAGGAATGTCAACATTGATGATAGGGATAGTTGCTTGTGTGCAAGTATTGTCTCCACATGTCACAATTTCCACAAGGCCTTCAATAGGGGAAGGCAATTCTACAGGAAGACCTGTAAAACAAACTGGGATGAGGCCATTGTTCTGACGCTCCTCGACTGGACCAGGCCTTGCAGAGACAGAAGTCGCAAGGATGGTTGCAACAATGATTGCATTGAAGAACTTCATGATGACTAATTCGCAAAGAGATTAAGAGATATGCTTATCGCTAGAAGTTGAACGAGAGCTGGGATGTGCTGAGCAGTACGTCTGAACGCAACCGCCTTTTATACCCTTCTTCATGCATTGTTTGTTCGACTTTGTTAGACGCTATGAATCTGAGCGAAGACTTGCATCCGGAACCGCGTGCTAGCGTTCTGTCATTCCTATCGCGTGATGTTCTGGTGCAATGGATCCTCTTTCTGAAATCAGTGAAAACCGCGAGATGATTTGTAAAGAACTCCAACAATGCGTAGCTACCTAGACAAACTATGTTCAAAGCATTCAACATTATCCGCATATCCGAACGCGGGCTTGAAGGAACATCGATCCACTGAGGGTCACCTATGGAAATAATGAACCCATCCTTGACAATTGCAGAACCAATTGGGCACCGAGTGCGGAACATGGCTATCGCGCCCATTCTATAGAGTGATCCGCGATGCTTGAAAGTTGGTACGTCGCATCAACCGTCATTGGAAATCGTGAGGTACCTGAAATTTTTATCATATGGACGCTGTCGTATGGTGGAATGCCGAGAACGATTTTCCTAACGAAAATGGCAGAACCATGAATGTACAAATTATCTGATTGTGTAGTACGTTTTCAACTCCAAGTATCCTGTGTTCGTAGTATTGCTCCTGAGCATTCAAGCAGTTCTTGACTAATCAACAGGGGTCTAAGGTTAACTATCACTGGCCTCGAGGGCCAGTATCGGATGGTTCATGTTAGTAAACAAGACATCAGAGGAATCTCATGTGGTGCTCTAATGGGGAAAGGAAGAAGTTAAGAAAGCACTCCAGATAGATCTCATTAATGAGGTTCTCGCCCACGAGCATCGGAAAGACCGAGAGTTAGGTGCAATACGGGTGTCATGTAAGGCCGAAGAATGCACAGCGGTCGCGGAAAAGGCAGAAGACGGGAACTGTAGCTGTTTGACATATAGGTGGAGATTTATTAGGCTGGAGTCACAATAGTTAAGTCAAATTCCCCTATCAGGAACAAGCCATGTGATGGATACAGCGAAGCCAAAGTCCAGGGAATACTTTGCGGAAATTTCACAGTTTGCAGAGAATGTTCCAGTCAGTCGAAACAAAAGGCGTTACTTTGGTAAAGCCGTTACACGTGATCGTGACGATGTGACTTACCAGATGCAATCCACCAGTGTCGTAAATCTTGCATTTGCGCTCATCCTCGGATTCCTGTCTGTCATAATGCCACTCATTGAAGTGAGTTTTATCAACAAATTTCTAATAATTTGAATTATCACCAAGCACCTCATGCATACAGGTCATCGCGAACGATCGATTGGGACGGAAAGGTGAGCAAAGCATATTCGAGGGTACTGATGGTGGTTATAGTGCATTGAACTCACTATTTCTACTTGCCTCTATAGTCCGCGTCAAATGCAGTCCTGAAGATACTGTTGGAGATTTGAAGCGACTCATCGCCGCACAGACTGGCACAGATGCCTCTAAGATCCAGCTGCGGAAATGGTACGCCACGTATCGTCTTGAATTGACCCATTGCTTACACTCATGCCTTGCATGCGTTTCTGTATAGGTATACGATTTACAAGGATCACATTACGCTCGCGGATTACGAAATCCATGACGGCATGAGCTTGGAGATGTATTAGGGTTCACAAGACCTCATGGCTTCCTCCGACATTTGTGGCAAGAAATTGTTACCCATTTCTCACTTGTTCGATAGTTACTTGTATTATACATAGCTGCTAAAACAGATGGGGAGTAATAGAATGTTCTCTTTGGTATATATACACTGTCCCGAGTTTACTTCTTGACCGTTTCTGACGGTTTATACATTACATTCTTTCTTGATGGTTTAATTTTAAACAATGGTTATTAATGCACGTGACATAATCGTGAGAAATATTAATTGTGCACCTCAACCTCGACTGTCCAGCCATGGCCATACGAAGGTGAACATGATCCTTTCTGCACTCTAGGACCTTGCTTTAGGTGGAACATAACGCCAGCCCAAACGTTTCCTTTTGAGACTTGCACTGCCGTGCAGTCTGAAGTCACGTCATATTCGTCTACGTTCG